AGGTTCATAATCTCTTTCTGGTTCTGAATCCTCTGGCACATCGTACATTTCTTGATCAGAGTGGTTAGCCACCTCTTTTGTTGATGTTCTGAAATTGTAAACATAAAATATTTATGTTGCATAAATATGGGATGTCAAATTGAACTTTTAAATTGACATCAATGTCACGGTTATAGCTCATGGACTTCATATCAAATCACCTTAAGTCTGAAATATGTATGGTTTAGGAGTTACACTTATTACAAGTATAAAATTGGAGAAGACTAAAACAGGTTGACTTAAATGCATTGAATTTGTGACATGTCGTAATTAACAATTTGTCAAAAACCTTTTATCGTTTACTGTTATGGTTTCTAAGGAATAACAATAACAAGCAAAGTATTTTTGGTGTCTTGTGGAGAGTTGTCTCATTGGCAATCATACCACATCTTCTTTTTTATATAAAGCCATAAATACAGAAAATGACGTTGATCTTTGACCTTGGCTTAAACTTTCTGCTTAAGGACCAAGGATCCATATATCGCAGGCTTAAAGTCTCTATGACTTACGGTTTATGAGTAACATCGATATATCACTTATGTCAAATGTGAAAAGGTAAATAGTTTCCATTAGATAACACCAGATCGCTGTGGTCAAAATTGAATGAACCCGTAATTGTGTACGGTATCATGTCCCAAAAATCTTTCCAGTGTGTGGCGAAACAACAAAAACATCTCAGTTGGATAATGAAAAAAATATCCAAAACAAAAAGTGTACGCAAAAGTTGAAATTGAAAGACTTAATTAACAGATGTGACGAGAAGCTCAAAATCAGATTATAAATGATTTTTGTAATTGTTTTTTAGTATTCATTCGTGATTGATGAATTGTTTGAAAAGCATTAGTCAAAAGATATTATTGTGAATTGTAATTACGTCTATGACTTAATCCATGTTTCTCATAATTTCTTTAAGAATATAATTAGTGGTGCGTGTTCTGTCTCTTTTCCAACAGAGCTTCATAATATCGTATAACCAGTCAGGACAAAAATCTGGTTGCATTGGTACTTCTCCACTGTAAATGGTCTTAAGTAACTACAAAATACAGACGGATGATAAGATTAGTTAAGAAAAAAAATTTCCTTATTAATTTGTATATCGTTGAGTATATCGTCATATGTGAGACAAGGGGATGCTTACTCTGTCGCTGCAAATAATGGTACTCCGTTTGGAGTCCGTGCGGTTTTGTCTCTGTTGGTGTTTCTCACTTGTTTGTCTGTTTGTTGCCGAATCTGTGTTATTTTAGCTGACATCGGTATACTACCACCATATTTGGTACGATTAAATGTCGTCTTTGTGGACAATGTTTACTAAACTCATTAAAACAATTTAAGATGGCAATGTTTAAAAGAGTAACAATTGCTCATTAAAGCGTATAAATACTTTACTTCTACGAATTAATAAATGATATATATGTTCAACATTGTTGTAAGATCTTTGAAAACTATCTTCGTAGGTACAAAACTTTATAAATTTCGTGTGTCTGAGACTGTTTTTTTTTATTTGCCGTCATTGAAAAAGTCATTTAACCCAAATATAGGAAAGCCAAGGATGTATTAATACCTACAAACGTGAGGAGAAAAGTATAGCCAAATTTTTCTAAGTCAAATTTACCTGGGGGAGTTGGAACCTTAGTTCCTTAATAATTTCTTACAGTATTAGTCGCAATTAAGTTTGCTTTAAGTCATATCAGTTTTGCAGCACTGACTACTGAGCTAATGATACTCTCAGGGACTAAAAGACCATAAGCAGTATTATCGACCCAGTGCAGTAAAAGAAAAATTTCGTGCGTCCGAAGCGCTTTTCCGGATTTATCTTTATCACGAACGCTCAAACCCAATTTTGTAAAAGCGAAGTATGTATAAAAACGTCTGGCGCTATATGGTAAAAAGGGACATTAGAGAGTTGGACCTTCAATATCGAAGTACTGACGACTAAGGTGATAATGCCGTCAAGAACAATTAGTCAACAAGATACGATCTATGGACTTGGATTATTGCTATGATTAAAGTTATACTATTTTGAATGATTACATATTATTTCCGGAGTTGCATCAATTAATATATCGAGAGGTTGTGATCTATTCACAGGTTAATTCGAATTTTTTAACAGGTTTAAATAAATGTGTGTATTCCTAGGTTTTATAGTGAATATTCTTCAATGTTCAGACGACTATACCGGTATCTAAAGATCTGAGTCCGAATTAAAAATATGTTGCTAGTGAATTTAGACATATCGTATCTGTCAACATGTTTGTGATAGTGACCGTTAAATTTATGTAGTGTCGATTTCAGTCGTCCTACAATTCTACTCTGTTGGAGCAGATTTTGTGTAAAGAGCTCTCCTCTGCTAATGAAGTCCGTATAGTGTGAAATTGCACGAGCCTAACGTATCAATTGAGATATGTTAACGTCAAACGATGGGACAGAGAGTATGCTGTTGTTTAGGAATTGGAGGTTGACAATTCGAAAGTTGATATCATCACGTTTGTCATAGATTCCAGTTTGAAGTCGTCGATCTGTGTCAATATCGAAAAAAATGTCAAGATATGAAGCAGATCACTAGTTTTAGTATTATATTTAATATCAAGTTCACTGAGATAAATGAATTACAAGCACTCATTGAAATATGAGTTATTGAATGACAGGATATCATGAATGTATCAAAAATTGAAATTAAAGAATTGTACATGATGTTTGGTTTTCCATTTTGTCCTTAAAAAGATTTTTCATATTTTTGCTTTATATTAGTACAAAAAAGTCCCATTTTAAATCTATACTATTGCAAGGTTAGCAAATAAATTGTAATACCAGTAAATTTGTAGGGGAAAAGATAAACGTTGACTCACTTTTTGCAAAATTTTATCGAATTCATAATTTTCAAAGTAGCGTGCTCATTTTTAGTGTGAATGACTTGTGAGTAGCTGAATTGGAGGCTTTGGATAATTGGATTGCATCAGCCTTGTGCTGTCCCATGGATTTCAGATAATTTGATTTTCCTTGTGATGCAAAAGCTTCGGAATTCTTTCCGCAGTACACTTTTAATAATCGAAGGACACACGTATAAAACAATAACGAGATGTGATATGATTGCCAATGGGACGACTATCCACAAAAGACCGAATATCGAGGAGTGAGCTCCATATGACAAGCGGTTTATTCCCGAAAAGATTAACATACTTAAACAAATATAATATAGAAAATTGTACATGAACTCTTCTAAAGAGAGAAAGAAGATAAAAAATAATCTCTCTCTCTCTCTCTCTCTCTCTCTCTCTCGTGTTCTTATTTAAATATGTAAATAAGGATGGTCAATTTGTCGAATGTCATACGTTTATCGCATTAAGAGAAAAAAACCAGTGCATTGCTGTATGTGCAAATGTTTATCAACATACATCGTAGAATACAAATTTTAATATACTTGGCATTATCTATTTATATTGAATAAGGGGTTTGACTCTATCTGTTTGGTATTCGTTGGATTGTTGTCTCGTTTTTTGAAATATTGACGCAGCTTTTACATTATATTTGATATCTTGTGTTATTTTGCATTTTGAAAATGTAAAAGAAATAAAGAAGAACTAAGCACAATTTCCTCTGAATGTGTTTTACTCACAGGGACAGTCAGAAAATCATTCAAACATACACAAAAATACAAAATTTAAAAAAATTACATAATTATATATATAAAACATTTTTCATTGTCAAATGTTATTAAGAGCTACATATTCCTGTTGGAGACAGTATATTTTTTTGGTAATTCACATTTCATTGCATTGAAAGACGCCTTTAACCAAAATGAGTTTACTTGTTTTTGAACTTTTTTTCTAGAAAAGATGGCGAAACAAAAGACAATTTTAAAAGTTAGGAGCATTATATGTTTTGGGCAATCTTAAAGTATTAATAATTTGGTCAAATGTTTTGAAATTACATCAAAATATTGTTAAAACCTTAAAGTATGAAATTATGATAGTGTTTTATTTTATAAGATGAATAACTTTAAGAAAATGGACAAAGTGTGTTATACATCCTGAGCAACTTGGACATATTAATTTACTATTTTTACAGTATATAATATTTTATCATTGATATTTATTACAATGGCTAATACCGAAGTTGTCAAATGTGGATGAAAAAACTGAGTAAGAGCAGTAAACAATCAGAAAAATGCAATATTAACACAACTATTCTACAAGAATAGGCTTGGTACCCGCACAATCTTACCCACCTACCCCCCCCCCCTCCTCCCAAAAAAAAAACCACACACACACTTAATCCTCTTCTGTACTATTTCCTATTGACAGTAAAGTTCTAAAATAAATTTATTATGATAAACAATGAAATAAATAATCAATAAGAATTAATACGATCCTTTTCTTAAATAATAATTAGAAAAATGTGTATATAATATGCGTACACCTCTTGTCTTTATTTAATGTCCTTCGCAGAGTTCCGTAGATATACATTATCATTTTTTTTTTCATTTCTGGCGGAAAGGAAACTTTGATGCTGATTTATTTCTGTGAGGCAAAGTATAACAAACACTTGAATCCTCGTCACATTAGTAACAGTTGAACATTGATCTTATTTTCCATTTCTAGAACGATAAAACAAACTAGTACCATCAATACAAATAGCATAACTAGTAAACATTAAAAAAAAAACTCATTTTTATCCGCTAAACACAATACATGTTTGGACGTCTAAATCCAACATACCTGTGCTCACCATAAAGATTATTAACACGAATATTAAATGTATGAAATCCGTATTCGTACGCTAACATGAAATTTGTTCACATCACATTAATTAACTGTATGGAATCGACATCGGTATATATATATGTTTAGATCAATATAACATGTTTTCCAGAGCGTTGACATGCTGGATAGTTCCAACATGTTTACATAAGTGTGGACATTTTGGATCGATCCAAACATACGTAAACCTGTGTGGGTTGAATACAGTGGATTTATGAACAGTCTGTTTTTGGGAGCAGACATGTTTTATTCATCCAAATATACATATGTTGGTGTACAATTAATTCATGTGGATGTGGCAAACAACAATATATACAATTAATGAACGATGCTTTTTGGTGAAATGTAAGTTTTAATAAACTGGTTAAATGCATTGGTTTCGTGCTTTGAAAAATACTTAATTTGAACCATGTTTTTAAACGTTAATGCACTGACATATAATATTTTAATCCATATGAATTCTGTTTATTTACTCAATAAAACCTGGACAGCACCCGAAATAAATCCGGACGGCTCTCGAAAAACCTCGGACATAAACGAAAAATTTATTTCAATGCAATAAAAAGAACTTTTGTAAAGTTTATAGACTCCATGTATACATTTCCTTTGAAATTTTGCCTTGGTATATGTATAAAGATGTTTTTTTTTAATTTTGAAATAAAAGCATTGTAATGCTAAACTAGACTTTTTTAACACAAAATAATAGAGGGTTGATATTATCTTTGTATTACAAATAATAACTTACCTTGTATGATCTTGGATATTAAGTTCAAGCATCTATTTCACGTCTAACCAGAAAAGGAAGTCTTTTTGATTACATTTTGAATCATATTAACTCGAAAAAACGTGGTCACACTCGAAAAAACCCGATCAATTCACTCACAACGACGATCGTCAGCCGGACACTATACCTTCTGTTAGTAACGTCCAAACCCAGACATTTATAAGCCAAGAATATATAAGACCTAAATATGTAAAGAGGGGACCTTAAAAATATCTAAATTCATCTATGGTCACCTTTGCCTGAGGGAGTTGGAACCTTGGAGAATACTTTTACTGTTGAGCGTTTTAATATAAATTAAATTTGACAGTAGTATATATTTTGGTAATGAGAGATAATTGACACCCCAATGGTCAAAATTTTAAATGTATTATATTCAAATTCTTTATTATCATAGGACAGATCATGTTTTAAGACTTTTAAAGTATTGATTGCTGTCTATCTTGTGAAGATTTATGTGTACATGTATACTTATTGACACAGTTAAAGGAAGTAAATTCTATATGGTAAGAAAAATGTTATATAATTATTAGGTATTTCAACATATACTCGAGTATTGGGGTATCGCTCGATAGTACCAATTATCAAATAACACAGTGATACTCGAAAAATCATTTTCCTGCAAGCACGTACATATTAAATGGAGATTCAAAAAGTAAACAATGATTTGTCATAGTTTAAACATGTTTCGTATCTTTGTGATAAATTGTCGTTTAAAATGTCTCCGAAATCTTTTTGGGAATATTAAATACGAAGTATTGACAGTACAACATGTTGCACCATATAAGAGCGAATCATCTTTTGAAGGTTGAGAAACCAACTCTCCAGGGAAATAAAAGTGAACGGCAAAACGCATCAGTGATTTCTAATCATCACGCTTTTGTTCATGTGGTTTCTTTACGATTAGAAAATGTAATTGCTGTTGCTCATAAGACTTTTTAATTATTTATATTCAAAACATGTTTATTTTTAAATTATTGATTAGAGAATTGTTTATTTGATGCATGTAAATAATGAGCTATCAATCATGGTATATAACTCCTGGGGCTAGTACCTAGTTTGATTTCCGAAGGAAAAATCTAGTTATTAATTTGGTGAATTGCAAGAGGCGGCGTACGGGTGACGGGCGCCTGCCAACAGTTTCCGTGCGATAATTTTTGAACCGGTTAACCAGCGCTTTTCAAATTTTGATATGTTGTTACTAATGATAAAATGGAGGTGGTTCGATATTGACGATTTTCATTAAAACTGTGCAAGAGTTAAAGTCCTTGATATATAAGAATATGAACACTTCTACCAATGGTTTTCAAATTATTATATGTTGTTCATGTGTTGTTACTGATGACAAAAGAGGTGTCAAGTTCAATATTGAGGATTATCACTATTGCCATTCAGGAGTTATGTTCCTTGTGGTAGATTGGGTAATAGACTAACGCGACGGGCGGGCGTCTGCTAACAGTTTCCGTGCAATAACTTATAAACCGTTCAACAAATGCTTTTCAAATTTTAATATGTTGATACTAATGACAAAATGGAGGCCAATTTCAACGTTGATGATTTTCACTTTTGCCGTTCAGGAGTTATCATGGTCCTTTGGGTAAATTGGAAAGTAGACATAGAATATGGCAGGTCAAATAGGCCTTACGGCGCCTTTCAAAATACTGAAAATTTGATTGATCAAGTCCTTCCCCCCTGAATTTTACAGTTTGTTTTCACATTGTTCAATAACCCCAATGTCCTTAATAAGCCTTGTAAGCGTTTGAAAACGGTACAAATTCACACATCACAGTGACTTGAGGGTTACGAGATTGTTTGCTTTACGTTTGACATCCACATGTCTCAATATTGACATCCATTGTAGATGTAAAAAGGGTTATTCCAAAAGTGAATATTCTTTCGACATTGGAACGCTGATGACTTCACTTTTATACTAAAACACACACATTTGTTTTCGTCAGTGTCCAAGTGTACTTACAGTATAGGGAATCTGTATTTAAATATAAATAAACAGGAAAAATAGTAACACTCTACCACTTTTTTGAAATCATTTGTTCATCACAGAGTAGAGCTTAACAATACCAATGGAAAGTAATGATTCGAAAAATTCAGAAAATTAAGTAAAACGCGTAAATTTTCATTAAAATTGCAATGTTTATAGTTTTACCAGTTTTATACTGTCTATTCTTGGACAACGTTGCTATGTTCTCAATTAATTGTGGCCAACTAAAACCTTTTAAGTTTTGAGATTAAAAAATACAAAAGATAAAATTTTGAGCATGACATGATTGTACAATACCATGTTAATTCAATAAAGAAACTAGAATAAGTGTCCATAGGACACCATGTCCCACTCGCACTATAATGTGTATAAGTTCAGTGAACCACGAGATTGGGGTAGAGATCGTAAGTAATCATGAAATATAAAAAGTAACCTTCACAATAAACATCTGTATTAAGTTTCTCAAGTAAATATGACCACAGTTTCATGGTACACAAAAAAAAAACTATGAACAGAATTAAGAATGCAAACGGGGAATGTGTGAAAGAGGCAACAACTCAACCAAGAAGCTGGCTCTAAACAATAATGTATACTAGTTCAGCGAAACGGACGCCACACTAAAATCCGAAACATATAAATGAACCAAAATAAAAAAACTAACGTCTAGAGGTTCCTTACTTGATCTCAACCCCTCCCTTCTAATACCTCTAGCCTATGTGGAATAAGCAAGCACACAGCAATGCTCACAGTGAAACTCATTTTAAAAGAGTTCCGAGTCGTCCGATGTTAGAATAGGTGACAGGTTAAACTAAGCAAAATGACAATGATCAACATAAATTAACAAAGGTCTATTAGCAGTTACTGACATTTTCGCTCAAATTATCGAAAGATTATGTCTCAATCATATGAAAATCAAGCACAATCCCTACCGTTAGTGGTTTAGTATCATGCCATAATAAATTATACGAGGTGGAAACCGTAATTTGATATATAATTTTAAAACGATCACATCATCATGAACACGTTTACTAAGATCATAACTTTATTGTAAACTGCATTAACCAAAACAAATTTACATGAAACATGACGGAAAAACGGAAGAACAAATCAGACGGACTAACGGAAGAATGAATTGATGCACAGACCAAAATAACATAATGCCTTCACCTCATTACAACCGTAGGCTGGAAATAAAACACAGTAAACAACAAATCATGCCATACAACAACGAAATATTTTAACATTGGTAGCATATACTAGTAACTGTTTAAAAACAGTTGCTCTGGAAGAGTCAAAGAAAGCTGATATTACTTTGGTCCTTTCAAACTGACTTGTATATAAATTAAGGAGATTTGGTGTGATTTGCCAATGAGACAAGTATCCACAAGAGTTTAAATGAAGTGGTAGTAAGCAATTATAGGACAACGTACGGCCTTCAACAATGAAAAAACCCATACCGTATAGTTGGCAATAAAGAGCTCCCACACATGAAAAATGTGAAAGAATTCAAACGAGAAAACTAACGGCCTATTTTATAGCAAAACAATTTACGAAAAACAAATATGACAGACATAAACCAGCGACAGCCACTGAACTACAGGCTCCTGACTTTGGACACGTTATTTACCACGGATACGAAGTGAATTTTCATGCAATGTTTAAATGCATTATATCACAAACATGTAAATGATGTACTTCAACAGTTTTTGTTTTTTTTATTTCAGTCCAACAGAATTATGTGTATAAAAGGAAATTAACAGAATAAAAGGTTAAAATGACTGCAAACTGTTTATATTGGGTCTTTTTTATGCAGACCTTAGTGTTAACATTGGGTAAATTAACTTTTAGATGAAATGATTCTATTGATGTTTAGTTTCTTTTGTAATTATCACCACTAATTCTGATATATTTGATAATGATCTATTGAAATATTTAATCGCAAATACAGAATATTTTACAAAACACTTTGAAATGCATAAATATTTTAAGACTTTCTGATATTTACTCTAGAGGCTAAAGGAGATACATGTGATATAAATCTAACTGCTGAAAAATCGAATATCAAGTTGCTATCTACATTTGACCAGATAAGTGTCTTGTTAAAGTCAAGCTTTAAAACGTTAAATTTTTAGATTAGATTTGATTAAACCTAGCAACACTCCATAAGATATGCAATAAACGTTGAATTACTAGTATTTAAATAACAGAACACACATAAGTATTACACTAACAAGGTTATTGTCAAGGAAAAGGCACATCGAGTTTTCACGGTGTTCAACACGTTAGTGTAGCATTGACAAGGTTCTAGTCTTGGGGAAAGACACATCGAAAACTACAAATAATCAATTTAATCAACAAACTATTAAGATTCGATGGTAAAAAAAATTCTATGAAATTTTATTAAAACAATGCTAAATCTTGAATTGTTTTCTTCAGAAAATGGGAATTTATTCAGAGAAAAAAATATTGTAGTAATCAAGTGATGACCAAACATGCTGAATATACCATGATTTATTCATGTGTAATACAATGATAAAGAACATTTAGAAATATAAAGTGATTATTGGTTCTGTTTGTTGGATCAAAGATAATACTTAAAAATCAGTCGAAAAATCTTCTACAATTGAAGAAGTTGTGTATACAATGTATGTTTGGTTCATAGTAGTTGCAGGGTTTGTCTTGGAATAACATACTTTTTAAAAACAGAAACGTATACTACATCAACGTCAAGCTAAACTTCCTGTTTGCAAGCAGATATATTTAGTTAAATTATGATTGCAAGCAAGACATATATTTAGTATTTAAAACTGTATTATTTTTTTTCAACAGTTTAAATTATCAAATGATTGTGTTCAGTAAATTTGTTTTCAGGTAAACTTGCTATTAATACCACTTGCTATGTAAAAGGAAGCCCCTGTACTATATCCTGTTCAATTCTAAACTTTACCAAACTTGCATCATGGAGTAGAGACAACAAGAGAATGACATCATGTACTAAAAGTGGTAACACCACTTTTTTCTGTGATAAAGAATCGACCCAAATATACAGTTTTAGCGCTAATCGGTCAGGAATATATGTAGCCATCTCTGATTTGACTTCAAACGAAATTGGTGCAAAATGGATATGTTCGCATGGAGTGGATACGCCAGTTCGCATTTCTATAAATATTCCCGAAAGAGGTAATGTTGATTAATATTTTGATTAAATCACTTATCTAAAATGGTAGTATTAACAAAGAAACAAAAGTAAAACTGTCGAAAAGATGACTTTACATTTTCCTATTAGAATCATTGGCTCAATATCTACCTAACAAGCAGCAATCTCCTACCAAGAAAATCATGTGAGGAAACTCAAGCCCTCGATAATCGTATCAACTGTAATATATATATATATATATATATATATAAGTAAACGAAACAAATATAATGTACATAATTGATTTTTGATTTGATTTTGTTAGAGTTTTAAGTTATATTTGTTGAAACAAAAAATTGTTTTCTATCTTGGAATTTAGGTTTTTTATGCTCTTTAACTTCATTATCGATTTTAAATTCCAACTGTTTTGATTCGAGCACCATTGATAAGATTTTAAGAAACCGGCATACTTCAATAAAAGCCTGAATTCTCATAAGAGATTTTACCAGCGGGTCGAAGTCGATGCCGGAGTACGTTTCGTCTCCGTTGACAACATCAGCAGAATAGTCAGCACTCGTTTCATTGGTACTGTTATTTGTTGTAAGTTAACTGTTTATAAAACTTGACAATAATTCTCAAGACTAAGGTATTTCTACCCCAGCTAAACATGACCCTAGCCAACTTTAGCACTATTGTTTTGAATTGTGAGTCCTAAATACTTTTCAACTTTTTTTTTAATTTGACCATCCAAATGCTTTGATTCGATATGGCCTTTAAAGCCCGGAATATTTTATTTTAAACATAACAAAGATGATAATCTTTGGATATGCAGTGTACATTGTTCTAAAACAGATCGCAATAAGTATGTGTCGCTTATCAATTCCGTACTTAAATATAGAAATAAGGAGGTGTTGTATGATTGCAAACATTTGTAGTAATTGTAATTTCAAATCTACTTTCTGTTTACAGATCAGATCTACAAATCAGGTAAGAAAATGTGTGCATTGCTTATATATAGGATAAACATGAAGTCTCTGTCAATAACTGCAGCATAAAATCGATTTTGGAGTTGGTTTCTTTCGAATTTCTGTAATCGAGCAATTATTTGTGCGTTTTTAATCAAGCATAGAGGCCTAAAAATTTCATTTAAAATAAGACAGGAAAAATTAGTATGTGGCGACTTATAACTGCGCAACATTAAAACACTTGCTTCGAACAAACAAAGAGAATAATTTGATGTCGTAAGATATCCGAAGGAGAGGCGAAAGATACCAAAGGGATATTCAAACTCAGCAGTGAAAAAAGGACAACCCATGGCAAAAACGACAAAACGACAAAAAAAAAAACGACAAAAAAAACCCAACAGTATACAAATCACAACATTGAAATTCTAAAGACTGAACAACACGAACCCCCCAAAAAACACTGGGCTGCTGACAGTAGGTGCTCCGGAAGGGTAAGCAGATCCTGCTTCACATGTGGCATTCGTCATAGTGCTCATGTATGTACACACCCGGTGGTAACTCTAATTCGGTAGTTTATATTCAAGGTAAAGAGGACAGGGTTGTGGTTGTGAAACAGATATTTTATAACGATCGACCAACTCGTGATGGCGTGCGTACAATTTTCGAAAGGATGATTTCAACTTCACCACTTTGGGCTCTAGGTTTGATAGCTTCCTTGTGAAATTCGTGATCAGCCTTTAACAATATACAAAAAGTATAAAGATGCCTCTTATTGTCTTAAAAACTTTGACTGCTTTATATTTTGCAGGACTCTCTGGCGGTAGTATAGCTGGAATAGTTATTGGGGTCTTGGTACCTGTTATCAGTGGTATAATCATTATTGTAATACTGGTTTTCCTGAAACGAAAAAAAGACGATAATGTTCCGTTTAATCAAATGGATAAAAATTGATGGTAAAATCAAATGCAAAGACAAGAAGAAATACATTAAATTTCTACAATTAACGATAGCAAATTTTGGAAGCCTATTATAACACTATTTGTCATTTGTCTAGACAGATTTAGTTGTACTGCTGATTTAAGACAAAGAAACTTTTGACAATTATCACCTCTATCAATCGTCAACTGATTTTTTTTCTGAGTGTACAATTACAAAGTGTATCACCTCTATAAATCGTTTTTTTTTTCTTTTCTGAATCGTTGAATTTAATTTGATGTGTATGTTAACACGTATAATGTTGGAAAGAACATGTAAAGAAAAAGAAATTTGTCCATTTTGTCCGGACCATGCTGAGTATACATGTATTGCAATAATAACATTACATAGAAGTTTAATACGATTCCGTAATTTTGGCAGAGGCATTCCAAAAGTTATAATTTATTTCTGTAGAAAATGTACCATTTATAACTGCACGTGTTCTCCCTGACAACGCTTAAACGATGCATAGAAAAAAAAACAAATGGCTTGATTGTACACCTCATTTCATACTTGTATGAGGCGCGGAAAATTCTTAAGCAAAAGTTAATTATTTTTCATAGATGAAGTAGTATGTTCCATGCATCTTTGTAATCATTGGTTGCCATAAAATCCACATGTATATATAATAAATGTTGTAGTATAATATTTTATATACATACTACAACATCTAATTCATGTAATTTATGTTGAATAATAAAAAAAACCAATCATTCAACATTACCTTTGGATTGACACTGTCTTAATTCGATTTTGGTTTTACGTTACATATGTCCCAGTGTATATAAAGTGCGAATCCAGTTAGTTCATTTTCACTGTTGTATGCGAGTATGTCTATTGTAGAATAAAGGATGATGGGAAAAACTGCGTTTGTTTACTATTTGAAAATACAAAATAAAAGATTTGTGAATGTATGTTTTAACAGAATTTCATTAGAATATAACTTTTTAATGTATAATAACAGGATTAAAGTCCAAACAGTGTTATTTAAGAAGAAGAATCCATAATATTGATTACTGAATGCGATTCATTTTAACTATAGATGCGATGAATTATCACTGAAAGTGCAATCATTTCTGATGTGGAATTTTTGGAAGTGCGATGAATTTTCATTGTCGTTTTATATGATTATTTGACATACAACAACTGAAAATAGTTATTAAATGACTTTAATATTGATGATATTTACAATTTGAAATGCAAGCTAGTCGTAGATGCTTACTTGAATATACACGGGTATAACCAAGTTCATATCATGAAAATTCAAATATTGTTGGTGAGTTTGCTATTAGCTTGTCATGGATCCGAAAATTTACTGGAGCAGAACATCCATGAATATAACGTTTTTCTACGACGAATTTTCTTTGAGGTCAGTTTTTCAAGTAAATGTCTTCAAATAAAATTAAAACAACGGGTTTCTCATTCGTATTATGTATTTTAACAACATCAAAGCACAAAATACACGGTCGCATTTAGTGAAAGAACCAACCAACTATGCTCTCTTTGTAGGTTAATCAAGGTTGAGTTACACATAGTGTTTGTTTCGCGATGTTTACAAGTAATTCACAGACCTGTCGATTTAAAATAGTCACATGGTGTTCATGTAATATAAATGATATACAATGCTGCCAGGAGCAGTAAACTTTGTTTATATAAACATTGAATACTTAACTGAACAGTTAGTCAATAAGTCTCTGGTGTAAATATAAGAATGTTATATCTACCAACATTGCTTCGCGATGTAGCGATTAACGTCCGGAATCAACTTTACGGCGGTTATACCCCGTGATATAGAACCAATTAAACATGTAACACTAAACTGTTTTCAATATTTCTTTGTAATTTCACAATAAATTATTGCGTATTAGCTTATATGTAACACCGACTTATAAGAAATTCAAGCATATTTAAGGTGACTCTACTGTTGCTCGAACTTTCTTTACTGTATAAGATTTATACACAATGGCATGATAAATATCAATTACCCAGTAATCCAAGCGTCAATTGTTTGTGCAAGATGAAAACGTTTCCACGCATTGAATCGTGAAATGAAGATCGTTTTGTGAATGCTCTTTGTTATCTCAAATGCGTTCATTAGAGCTATTTTCCAAACGCTTGTAGTTTAAAGGTTTGATTGGCTTGCTTGCTTTGTTTGTATAAACGTTTGCTCAATCTTAATTACAATGCTTAGGCAACATTTACACGATCAAGGCCAACCACACCTTTTATCTACAAGCATTAGAAAATTAGCTCTAATGACGTTTAATTTATTAGTATGCGATGTATATTTAGACCGAAACAGAAACTTTGCTTTTCCGGTGACGTGGATTAGCTTAACTGTCCAAGATATATGTATTTAATGATGACGTGTCATAGGAAAGAATAAATTTTATCCTACATATAGATCAGGACAAATTATTTGAGAAAATAGAATTGACTATATTAGCAATATATACCATGTTTAAGGAATTTATTGATATATTACCTCAGACTTTCACTCACTAAGTATGCATATATAAGCAATCCTTCTGACTTCATAAATTTTGTTATAAAGTCGACTGAATTTAGACTTTATATAATGAAACTTAATTAATTTCCTTCTGTGAAAATGCATCGCATATACAATAGAAATGAATCGCTCTACAGTGAAAATGAAAGTCTAGTTTCATTATTCGACAGTAAACATGAATCGCATAACGAAAACAGCATAGTGGAATTTGATTCAATATCAACAAGCTGAATAACAAAACCTGTTTTAAGTTAAACAACATTGATAATTATGTTAAAAGGTACATTTTTCTGCAAATGAAACTTAACTGCTACTTTTAAATCTCTTGCACGCTCTGTTCGTGAACTATTCTTAATATTAATCTATTTGTGTATCAATTGTGCGCCTGGATGGCTATAGGCGCGATGAAAACCCGTCCGCATCTCATACCTATATCATGAATTTATAAATACAGTACACATTATATATTATTTCTTATTTTATTCAAAAATCTTGAATTTGTCGTCTGTTTATTTATCATTCTACATCAGAAATTCATCACGGATACAGTAAAAATTACATTTTAGGATTCGCACATTACATACACTGTGTCTAATAACTTATTTAATTTATTTACTGAATCTTGCCTGATACAGGTCATTCCAGGAATACAACTGCGCATTGAACATGTTGAAATCCCCTTAAAAATTTATCATAAAAACCAGGGGTAGATAACGCTGTACCAGAGGAAACCTGTCAATGGCCCCTAACAAATATCCAACACCGAACCAGTGAACAATGATTATTTAAATTCTAATTAAATCAGAGTAATTCCACATCACATGTACAGTTATTGAACAATGGTGGTTGGTTGTTTAAAAAATATATAAATAGTATATTCGTATTTCAATGAACAATATTATATGAGGGTGGTAAAGGGTTATTATTTCACGTGTAGCCGTGAAAAAGGTTCGTTATTCACCGTGTTTCGTGAAATCGGTAAAAGGATCAACGTGCAAGAAATTTTTAATTGTTCGTTCATCTTGAAATGGCAATTTTATTTCGTGTTCTTCCGTACAGATACCCCCCCCCCCCCCCTTTACGCCCCTCTTATATAACCTTGGTAGTTTTGATAATGACTAATAAATTTATTCACTCTAAAAGCGTTACGCTTTTTTCTGAATTCTAGTTCAAATACATGTATTAGTCATGATTTCGTCAACAATCTTGATAGTGTATTTTAAACTTTCGGTGAATATTATATAATGGATGCATTCGATGTATTTAAAGAGATGTAGAGTGTATTTCAAGGAGAGAGTAACATATGGCAAACAATTATAATGAAATTATTTGAGAAACCTCTATTCATTTAAAGAAAAAAATCATACTGTTGTGCATATGTTGTTTCAGATACATTTGTAAACATGACAAAATCCCTTTAAAATTAAACACGAACCAAGTAAAATTAATATCTTTTTTCAATTATTTTGTTAACAATATCTATTTCTCCGATTTAAGTGTAGGTTGAAATTTGAGAATTACTCTACAAAACATCCAGGTAATTGAAGTCGTCATGCAGAAAGATATAACTGTGTTTGAATAAAAAAAAAAAAGCATAGTTAATTTTTGCAAATCAATCGATATCTTGTATGTTTGAATTTTCTTGCCAGTCTGGACAAAGTAAGAAAATTCTACTATAATCAGTTCACCTTTGTTTGTTAACGTCAGTGATAATTGATTAGACGAAACAAAGGATCTAGAAGGCTGGTCGTTTTTTTTTTTTTTTTTCAATGGCAGTTTATTTTCGTCTTATTAATTTGAATGTCCTTTTGGTATCTTTCGCTTCCCTTCTGAAATTTTCAGGCAACACAAGGCTCATACAGAATTAGATATGTCTCCATCACTAACTGTCTAATTTGAATATAATTGTGACGTGAACGTATTTTAAAATTGTTCAACCATGGAAAAATTTCATAAATTCATACAAATCGATTTACAAACAAAGCGAAAAAGTTTTTCGTGTACGAATAGATAAAAAAACTAGAGCCATGCGTTTTCTATTAAAAATCGTCAAATTTGTCCCGTTCGGTTCGTTGTTTCCAGTTCTTACCTGGCTAAGTTCATCATTTGCAACTCCCCCCACCGAAAGGGTGACAGATATTTCATAGTCTCGGCTAATTTCATGTACAACTTGTTTGTATAGCTAGATTCTTGGGAATTTAGAGCTTGACATATTAAGTTTATAGTAGTTTTCAGCATTGTTTTACAGATACTTGATCAACATACACAAAGAGTAAAACTGAAATATTAAAATAAAGAAATGTATGTATGTACCTGTTTTATGCTACCAAAGGACATGATCAATAAATCATTGTTTATTATGCAAACTATAGAACATGAAATAAAACCATTTATAACATTGTGGGTCAACAAAGATTTTGTATTGATCAGTGTTGATTATTGCACTCAAAATAAAACAAAAACTTTATATAATGACCTAGACACGACTGACAAAATACATAATAATTTATCTTAATGTTTAATACTTTGATTTTAACATTTATTTGTACATATACTAGTAATCTACGTAATTATAGATATAAAATATTCCAATGATTTGATGTAGGCTAGAAGCTTTAAAGTCATATTTTCAAATTTCAAGTGTCAGCACATGTACATGTATATGACATACATATCAACAATTGTCAGTGATTGTTGAAATATTTTACAAATAATGTATGTATCATAATTTTGAAAATATGTAAATTTTGGGTAAAGACTATAACACTGGAACCAAGCAACACACAAAATCTTAATGAAAAAACATAAAAGAACAAATAATATAACTGGCAACAAGATAACATAACTCATAACTAGTAAAACAGATAACATGTATGGCAGCCAAAATAACATAAACGGCAACATAGATAACTATAGTGGCACACCTATAACCTCACTGACCACACAGAAACCTGTACTGGCAACAGTGATAACTGGACTGACAACAGAGATAACTGGACTGGCAACACATATAACCTAACGAGACTACTTAGATAACTGTACTAGCAACACAAATCACTTATTTGACCACACAGATAAATGTACTGACTAGACAGATAACTTACCTATCTGACCACACAGATAACTGTACTGGCAACACAGAAAACCTAACTAGACCACACAGATAACTGGACTGGCAACAGAGATATATTAACTTGACCAAGCAGATAACTGGACTGGCAACACAGATAACCTAACTAGACCACACAGATAAATGTACTGGCAACACAGATAATTGGACTGGCAAACAAAGATAACCTAACTAAACCACACAGATAACTAGACTGGCAACACATATAACTTAACGAGACCACTC